TCCACATACTGCATGTGTCCTTGTCCCTTATCGCCCAGTGATGGTATTTTTTTGAACTCTAACCAGGGGGCTCTGGAGGTGATGCACGCTATGAAAATCTCAGACCTCATCGGCATACAGAAAGGTCTCTCTAAAGTGACTCAGTCTTTGAAGAAGATGAAGGAAACTTTCAAACTCATGCACAGTAAGTTTGAATTAAACCCATCCCAATCTGAATTTAATCGATTTGCATGCTGAGCCTTTTATGGAGGCAAGGAAATTCAAGGTAATTAGAATAACTGAATTTGGCTCTTTCCAGATCATGTGGATCCAACTGAATTTCATGGAACATTGAGAATTTTTGTCTCGGGGTGAGTTTTAAGGCCGCTAACAATATTCTGCATACTGAAGTTATTAATGCTTTTAATATTTATCTCTCATGCAGATGAAATGATGAAATTCCCTTCTGCTTCTACCCTACTATTGTACTTTTCGCTATTTCTGCGCTGTATGCTTAACTGGATAACATGTCAAATGGAACCATGTGCGTCTAATTGCATCTATAAAAAGAACATTCACAGCTCATGCATGTGGTGTGAACTTTTTTAGGTGGCGAGACAACCCCATGCTTCCAAGGGGGCTGTTGTATGAAGGTGTGAGCAATGAGCCAATTTTGTTATCAGGTGGAAGTGCAGCCCAGAGTTCAACCATTCAGTGCTTTGATGCTTTGCTGTGCATCAAGCATGAGGATGAGACAGGTAAAGATGCATTTCCTTCAACCTTCGACCCCATCAGTTGTCTCTCGTGAATGAATCAGTCTGTTTGTGCAGTCAGTTGATTGCTCTGACAGAAAATGTTTCCAGGGAAGGTTGTTATTTTCTTTCTCTCAAAGTCTCTTTTTCTGTTCTCTTCATTGATTCGGCCTATCCAGGAGCTTTCCTGACACGCATGAGGGATTACATGCCTCCTGCCCATCGTCAGCTGATAGAGACTCTGTCTGACTGTCCATCTCTGCGAGACTTCATCCTGTCCCACTCCAGCTCTGATCTCTGCCAGGCCTATAAGTCCTGTGTCTCAGCGCTGGTGGATTTACGGAACTACCACCTCAATACTGTGACCAAGTATGTCATTGTGCCCGGTAATCAGGCTCGCGCCATGGGCTGCCCGCTGAGAGGTGTCGGCACTGCACTGAACGCCACAGGGACCGGCGGATCCAACCTCATGGTCTTCCTCAAGGGTGTTCGTAACACCACTCAGAAAGCACTGATCTTGGAGAGGCCATCTGTGTCAAGAGAAACTGAAATATAATTTATAGCGTATATTACACTATCCAAAAGCTCTTTATGCACTATGCTTTTTAGGCTGCATTTATACATTTACAAATATCAACAAATATCGCCTCAATTATTCTAATCAGACAACTGTGTTTGTCGTTATTAGATTCGACTAAGTAATTTAGGCTGGGTTAGATGTGCAACTTCCTGTATTTTAATGCTTTTAATGCTTAAATATTTATAGTGCTCTTTCATAACCACAAAACCTCAGATAAACCTAAAAAGAGGAGCTGTTTAATAGATGGAAATGTTATTTTTGCTGACCTCCAATGTTTTAACTTCTTGTTTTGCTACAGTGATGATTAAGTGTACTTGATCGACATCATAGTTGAGTGTAGCCAAACTGCCTCAAAACTTTGAACCAAAGAGGACAGTGAAACACCACTTTCCAGCCTGGAAATAAATCAGAGGATTTTCTTCTACGTAATGTTTTTACTTGACAATAACTACTGCTACACTTTAGAAGCCCATTTCTTCCAGGGGGAAAATGGATAAAAAGTAATGCATAATGAAAATAAAAATACTCAGCGTAAGCAGAATGATGAGATCCTAAATCAATATTATGGGGGAGTACATTTTTTACCCGCTATCTCAAACAAAAACTAACTTTTCCTTCGGCAGAAATGGGCTTCCACCACCGTACAGTCCTTAACATCCCTAAATAAACCGCACTTTGATATAATACTTAAAATAATCACAATATGATTTTAAAAAGTTACAGTTACAGACACTGCTATAAAAAGGGAGTGTTTCTTTTTATTTATTCTGTTTTTTTTGTGTCCATGAAAAATGTATAATGTGCAAAATCTCAAATCTGTACACCCTTGAATCTTATTTTGAGATAAATGATTTGAACGTTGTTGTTTTTAATATTTTAAAATATATAAAATTCTTATCAGTTGCTATAACAATGCCTGGTCATGTTGTTTTAAAACTATTTCTAGTAAGAAAATATGCACTTATAATATGAATGCAATGATAGAAATAATGCCAAATGGAAGAGAAGCGTTTTTCTAAACTGCATATGATCGATAAACTAATTTGGCTTTTGTAAACAGAAACTGAAAATGAGAACTCCTACGTGCTTGAGAGTAAGAGGCAGATGGCAGAGGAAGCAGATAAATGTAGAGAAAACCATGAGCAGTTGAAAAAAATAGAGGAAGGAAACGCTGTAGGAATAGAGCGATAAAGGACACTGGTAAAATAAAAGCAAAACAGAATCAGCTGAGGAGAATGAAAGAGACAGACACAGTGGAGGTGATCAGGGGAGAGGGATGGATGCGGGATCAGGTCACTTAGTTTGATGGACTGGAACCCCCACTAGCCTCCTGGTCTTGACTTGAAGGTTGTGTCCCTTCTTGCTATTGAGCACTAATCACATTAGAAGAGAGAAGAAGGAGCTCAACCACACTGCTGCTGCTGAGCTCTGGTCATGGTCCAACTTTGGTTCACTAAAGCACAAAAGAGGTAAAATTTGGACTGCTTGACAGTGGGTGAATGCAGCTCTGACTGCACTACACCTAGTCCTGGTGTAGTTGTCTGCTGTCATATAGAGTTGCAAAGTAAAAGGGGGGCTTTGGCTCTGGAAGTATTTTCCCCATCTGTGTCTCAATTTATACCCTCAATGATATCCTAAATTTTACTTAACATACAATCACAGGGCTCTTCAGGATAATATAACAATCCAGGTATACCTACAAAAAGTAATGCACAAGAATATAATCATGAGCCAGTAATTCATATATAACCCACATAATCAGAAAGGCTGCAATCACATGACCAATGTGCTGACAGGAGTAAAGAAGGAAGTAGTAAAAAGAGCTAAAGTCTGCATAAAGCTGCAGGTTGGGGTCGTGGATTAGTCATGCACTATTCATACTTTTCCCAGAAAAGTAACGCACCAAAATTCGTATATATCTCACATAATTATGAGGCAGTAATTTGTGCGTAACCCACATATTTTGAAGGGCAGCAATCACGTGACCAATGCAATGATGGGACTAAAGACAGAAACAGTCCTGAGTTGTCCCTGTAAAAAGGAAGGTTGGGGTGGTTAATAGGTCACAAACTTCAGGACTTCCCCTGGGACTCTCCCCAGAATACCAAAGTTTGAAACTGTGTGAGCTTTGATTGACCTTTAAATCATTTTAAGGTATTTCGTTACCATGTTTCTTTTTCTAAAACTACCTACAGTGACAGTACAGTAGTACAGTGACTATGTAACACCATTTGCCGATGTGCTGATTCGTAGGACACATACAAACCGTTGTATGAGGACACATTCAACAAACACAGGACTTTCCCCAAGGGACTGGTGTGTGTGTCCTGTGAAGTGAACTTTGACTTATTTGAAGGAACATTATTACCATGTTTCTTCTTCCAAACCCAACCCATGTAACTTAGCGTTAAGTAACTTAAATGTACATAATGTGACAATGCCCACTAATTCTAATACTACAAGCCGACATATAAGGATACGTGAAAAGATCATGTAAGTTTATGCTATGGCCACCGGTTACACTTATTTCAACTTTGTTTTCCTGATATCATGCTTTATTCATCCTTTTAGCATGGACAAGGCTCTAAATACCACAGTACCTATATGAGCCTTAGCCACTATTGCTATGGAAAGGAGTCTAGTCGAAGCACCAACCATAGACAAAGAAATTCAAAATACAGTTGCCAACAAAGTTCAGTGTTATAGTTGCAAAACTCAACCAAAATTGATACAAAACTTGGTTTTCTCAATGGCGCAGGTTAAGGAATTTTAAAATAGATGAGTGGATGTTTCTTACTAAAATGCACCTTTGGAGTCGTAGTTACCTAAATTAAAAGATTAATTAACTTTAAGCAGATATTTTCTAACGTATTTATTTCTTGACTTGAAGATCAACCACAGAGGGACTCCAACTGCGACTTACATAAGATTGTTCATGGGAAAAATAAATGTGCGCCCAAAACACCTCCTCTTACTTCGCAACTCCATTGCCTCTAGCTTTCAGTCGACATAGGAGCACACCGAATCACCTTCAGTTGAAAATGTTTTAATTGTGATGTAGAAACAGTAGAAAAATGCATAATATTGCACATCACTAAATTGCACTTTCTCAGGGTACAGATCTTTGCATGGAAAATGGTGACCTGAATAACGTAATCTGCTGTATCGTCTAATGATGGGAGGCGAGTCTTCCTGACATTTCTCAGACATGTAACAGTACCATAATCTACATAAGAGCTGCTGTTATAAAATTACTTTAAGACTTCAGTAAATACCTGCTTTGGAACAGCGTGCAAGTTCAGTCAGTGTCACTGCTACATCATCAGTGTTTGTTTTTGTACTTAACCAAAGCTGGTGGCTACAAGTCTTCTCTGCTGTAAGATTGCTACCATACTCCATTAGCACTGCATGTATATAGCCCTTCTACTCTTGCAAGTTCAGTGCACAGTTGTTTGTGTGGGTTGGTAAACAGATGTTTGGTGTTCTGTAAGTGGTTTCATTTTACAAGATGGAACTTGCAGTTGAACGGCAAGATAAATTAATATTACAAAACAACACTTCAAGTGTCAGCTAACTGGGCATGAAACAAATTACTTAGAAGTAGACTCGGTTCAAGACTTCACATGAGAGCTTTGCTGTGACACAAGGAGTGACTGAGAGGCAAGTCAAACTCTTAACGGACTCAAAGAGAAATGTCAAAATAGCCTTTACTTCTTCTTGGAAATTCAAAAGAAAAAAAACACTTTTTAAGTTATCATAGAAAATATTATGCCTTGGAAGTAGTCAAACATTATATATGTTGTTAAAAATATCTGACCTAACCCAGAAGACGTCTGCATTTTCAACAATTGTACCTGCTTCAAGAGGAGGAGCCCCGAACATATGTTTTAAAATTTCATTTCACAGTACTTTGCTAAAAAGATGCAGATATTCTAAAATATAAATTCTGAACATTATGTGTCAGTGTAGCCAACAGAAAAACACAGGATGACTGAGGCAAAGTTGGCTGGCTAGTAGGTTGGTTGCACAGTGAGCTAAATGGAGAGAAGGATAGTGAGAAAGACAGAAAGAGATAAAGAGACACAAAGAGAGGGAGGAGACAGGTGTTATTAACAAAGGCAGGCAGACGTTCAGTCGGACAGACAATCTGGGCAGGATGTTAACAGATAAGGAGGAAGAGGAGAGAATGGACGGGGGTTATAAGAACAGCGCTGACACACTGCCATGTACTGTACTGTGTTTCAGTCTTTTACGCGTGTTCCTCTCAATAGTCAAATGTTTGTGCTTTGCCGGAGGTGGGGCTGATGTCCATTCAAAGATTATAGCTTCACTCATAAAAGGCCCTCCACATGGCGCCTCCTCTTGTTGCCAAGCAATATGCTCTATGGGGAAAAAACCAAAAGTGCATTGCATTGGAGAAGGCAATAAAAAGACGTAAATATAAAGTGAGAGGTGCCAGAGTATAAATAACAACCATCTTTACACAGCTTAGAAACAAAAACATATCCCAAAGCTCACCTAGATTTTGCAGGTGTGTGTCCATCCTCTTCAGCGAAACATGCCAGAAAAAGGTTTGACAGAATTTAAAATGTTTCTTTTATTTTTTTTTTGTCTCTGCTGTCCCCCGGCTGACTTAATGTGCAGTCTCAACTCAGAACCCCAAATGAACCGGTTTCTGCCGTTATCCATCCTCATATGTTGATTACTCCCTCTGAATATTCCCTCATCCATTTCGAGATTAACGGGGGTATTAATGTGCCCAACAAAAAGGCTGTTTCCAAAAGCCTTCATGTTTTATTCAAAGGAACCAGAGTTTCCAACGAGCATGCTTTTTGGACTCTGTCTTGGACTTGCGTTTTGGGGTGGAGGTGAACACTTCATTGGAGTAAGGCAGAGCGGGGCATTGTTGGCTGTCCAGGGGGCAAAGTCTCTTTATCAGGGGCTGTAGCTTGTCCTCCTGCAGCTTGAAGTCCAGCTCGACACTGCAACACAAGCATAAGTGGGAGAGTTTTAGAAAAGTATTCAGTTCAGTGTTGTGCAGCACAAACAAGGATTTAATTGTAGATATCTTGATTGACAGTAAAATCAAGTGCATTCATCTGTCTGTATTCAAAGTTAGCCATTTATCTTTTGGATGACTATAACATTTATGACTCAGTTATTTTTTTTATATTAGTAATCCACTGATGTCCAGATGGAGGCTGGGAGGGAGGCAAACAGTTCAAATGCACTGACAGACACCCTGGCAGCACATATCTCTTGCGGCACATATCCACATTTCATAGACTCCTCCGAGTAATAGAGTTCCTTTGCATCATCTCTGTATTTTTTATGCATGCAGTCAAAGGGCTTTTCCTGCATAGATTATATTTGTATCAAAAAATAAAATAAAATAAAATAAATAAAAAAGAGCCAGAATGTAGGTTGCTCCTGACATCAGACTTCCACATCCGCCAGTATAATCCCAGGCTGGTCATCGTCTGATTTTGTTCCGACACCATAGTTGAACTCTCTCTCCGATTAAATCTCTCAGGCCTGGGAGAAATGTGGGGCTTAATCCCATCCAAATGAAACCATTGAGAGGCCAAGCAGGCCCTGATTAACTGCCTGTATTCAAGCAAGGGATAAATGCATTATTATACACCATCTCCTTTCACTTTATTGCTATTGATTTGTAGTGCTCTGTTAATGTATTTATTCCTGGGGTATGCAATAAATTCTGAAAGCATCCGAGTGGAAATAAAAGAGAATGAATCACCTGCTATGTGCCTGCCAAAGTGACACTCCTCAACAAACCGTACCTGATAATAGAACGTTCTGTTGCATTTTGGTTTGGGGCATTTTTGATTCATCCTCGTTTTATTATTTTTTTTCTCATCACTGGCATTACTTAACGCGCCACATTTTAAAAGCACAGGACTTACAAAGCTTATTCCTGTCATTCAAAGTCTGGAGGATTAAAGGTGGAAGGGAGAACTAAAGCTGCTGAAAGAGATGACATCTGACACGCCAAGGTCAAACATGTACTCCTCTCCTCGTCTGCGGGCACACAAATAGAAGTTAAGGTACAAAGCTGGGCCTGATAGGGTAACAGCTTTGATGGGCAGTGTAATTAGTTGGCTGAAGGATATGCTATACTCAAAGTGACATAATGAATCCTGGGAACTGTCCTCACCCTCAAGATAAGTGTCGACTGAGAACAGAGCTCTATTAAAGCCTTCAGGGGAGAAACTGGATCGAGGGCCGGATAGAAATTTGGCAGGTTTGGGCTTCCAATGAATCAATACGCTGGATTAAAGGAGCAGTCTGTAAGATTTAGGGGGATTTAGTGGCATCTAGTGGTGAGGATTGCAGACTGCAACCAGCTGAAACGTCTCCTGATTAGAATTCCTTCAGTGTTCAGGAGGTTTTTAAAAGGAGCCGAATAAAGCAGTTTCATGTTAAAAACTTAGTGCTTGTCCAGTGCTGTTCAGCACATCGGAGACAGGCTGCTAGCCCAGCACCTACTCATGTGTGCTCATCTGTTTTCCCTGATAACATAGGATCCAGATATTCAGGACATCTTAATCATGAGGCGAACTATTTGCAGAGGTCTCTTCCTTTCCAAAACAAAAGGACCTTGTGATTTAAACAGCTTAAAACACAAAATAAAGCAGTTTCATGTCAAAAAATTAGCATGTTCTGACACTGGTCTTCGCTAATTACAGTGGCTGATGCAAAAATGTGAATAGCCCTATCTAGAGCCAATGTTTAGTTTGGCAGTGCAACATGGCAGAGTCCATGGACAAGGACCTGCTCCCTATGTAGATATAAATGGCTCATTCTAGGGTAAAGAAAGCATGACGATTCTTATTTTCAGGTGATTATACACTAAAAAACATACTTATAATATTATTTTTCATTTCTGTTAGTATATCTTAGTCTAGTCTCTATATACAGACTCTACATTCAGTGAATGTAGAGTCTGTAGGCAAACCCCGGAGATCTTGCCTCCAGAAGAAGAGCGGAAGAGCCCTGGTTTCCAGTGCTAGGCTGTTTGTAGTCCGCGTGATATTGACCAATCACATTTGAGCTGGCTGCAGTTGTTGCCAGGTTAAACAGTCCGTGCAGTGAACTAACGAGGTGGAACATAATTGGCGTCACTGCAAACTCTGAATCCATCGCAATGGTTCAGCATATTTACTTATATATAAACGGAAGTCGGAAACGGAAATTCACCTCCTCTGCCCAAATCAAACCAGAATGCCAAAAAATCGGGGGTCTGCCCCCAGAGGCTGCATCGCCATCTGCCTGAAGACAGACGCCGAATACAGCCGATGGGTTCCGAGAATGATCTTAGTCTTACACACTGGACCTTGAAATGAAAAGCAAATCGAGAATATACAGGGGCCTGCATGGGTCCCAGTTGCTCAAAACTCAACTTCATTATTGGTATAAAAAAGGAATTTTTAAGCATGTTTGCTGTATCAAAACAAAAGCTCTTTTTGCACAGCGCTTTGCTCGTTCTTCAATTTCTTATGTGCTTTCTCCTTTTTTCCCCACATCAAATAAAAGCTAACACTTGCAGGTGCACACTGAATCCTTGACAATCAGTTTTTAGAGTAAACTGAAAGTCTTTATCTTGACAGAACTGCTGTTTCTTACAGTATGAGATGCACTAGTTTTCCATTTCTTATTCATATTATCTATTGATGAATTTCTTTCAGCTTTTATCTGTATACGATTCTTTTGTTTTCTGTAAAATAAAAAAAAAACTTTGTGTCTTTTACAGCTGTTTAAAGAATGTTGACTTGACAGAAAGCAGCAGAATCACAGTGGCACAGCACAACACAGAATAGCCTCGGCAATTATTAAGCAATTAATCACTTGGCAGATCACTGCAATTACTGTACGCTGTGGACAAATGCCTCGGTGGGAAGCCAGAGGCAGCACTGTACGATGCGGGTGGCACTGGGGAGCAGGTGCTTCAGCAAACAAAAAGCCCTATATCTAAGATCATCTCTGTACACAAACAGATTGAAGCGGCTGGAGACTGGGAGGCTTTTCTAGGGCATTCAGCAAAGCAGATTAATCATCTCTTTAGCTATGCAGTGTGAGTAGCTGTTGCTGTGATCAGTGGCGAGCCGTTTGTTTGTCTGTGGTCGTGGTGCGCTGAGCACCATTCAATAATTGTTGCTCCTGGGAGGGATTCTGCTGCTGTGAGATGTCTTTTTAGCACGGCATACTCTATTCATTCAGTAGTGTATACCTGCTCACTGCTATTCTCTGTTCTTCCTGCTGCTGGCACCTTTCAGCGTAAAAAGTCATTTCTCCTCCCGTGATTTCCCTTTTGGCCATTCACAGTTCAAACTCTCCACTTGACAAAATGAGCGGTGCAGGCCCAGTACAGTGTAACATCTACAGAACTACATGACGGGGCATAGTAGATTGAATCACCAGAGACTGACAGTTGTTTCTTCCACCGACAGGCAACAGTTGAAGCAGAAACTTCCCACAGGTTATGTAAATCAGCAGCTGAAACTCTTCCCCTGTCATGTATATCAGATATAAAAGCCATCACTCTTGTATATTACATAGCTTTCTGCTTCAGAGAAACACAAAGAAAAACCCAATCTCATTAATGAGAACAAAACAGAATAGGCAATCTTGACAATTGTTCACCAAAACAACCACGGCTCTGCCATCTCAGCGTGGGATACAAGTGCTAATTAGCTGCTTGCGTCTCATCATATTGCTTTGCAGTTGCCTTTCCCTGAACTTAACTGTTTTTCAAAGTCATTGTTAGTTCCAAATTGGAAACAACTACATCGTATACTTTGATTCAAATGCTGGTTTTTATTCAACACAGCATGATAGGAATAAAATCCTTTAATGCTGTTATCCGAGCGTGTTTGTTAAACCGGGCTTCCTGCTGCACTCTAGGTTCACTCAGTGGTAGGCCTCATATAATTTGCAAGGGATGCTCTTGTAAATCTCGTTTGAACTACACACGCGGCGAAGTACAGCAAGGCAATATGAAGAGCAGAGGGTGGATACAGCGTCGTCATACAGCCTCCATGTTTGAGTTTCTTTTACAGGGTTACCAACTACAACTACTACTTATATTAAAGTAGCTGTTTACAATGTTCAGAGCATATCTATGATAAAGATTCTGGTTCAGCTTGTCTGTACACAGTTCACAACATATAGGTGGTGGAGCCAGCAGCTAGCAGCTAACATTGCTAACTCCATAAACAGCGTTATCAACAGCAACAGAGTTGACATACGTAGCTAATAGTGATAACCTGCAGAGGGAACCAGAGGGTGGGCGCACACCCTCAGGACTCACAGGTGCTTGCCTCTGGATCCATCTACCACATCAATAAACAGAGAAGCTCAGATTACAGCACACACCGAGGGAACCTGACTCCATCTCTGCTCAGGATGCCATTACTCCTCTGTATCTTCAGCAATGCTGCCATATTAGGGATTTGAATGTCATACAGAGCTCCTTTAATGTCCTCACTACGAAAAAAAAGCGATGGAAACATTTTTTCTTTGTGTTTTTAGGTCCTTGGGGCTACACTAAAAAAATCAATATATATTTTTAATAGACCCTAGATTGGTTTTTATGGTTGAGATGGACCTTCGTGGTAATGGTAAAACAGAAAGAAAAAATCCAAATGATAAATCATGTAGTATTATAATGCTGGTATTATGTTAGTACAGTAACAATTTCTTACCATGGAATTTGTTGTATTACCAGTACTAGTATTATTTCCATGACCACTACAGTACTTTATAACATCTCAAAAATGATGACTGGTGAAAAAAATCATATTGCTATAATTTTTTTCATTAAGTTTATGAAGGATTAACATGAAACTTATGGTTTAACAACAATGAATATTCATCCCTTATTATTTCATGAAAATGTGAATTTATTATCTTAGCATTACTACCTTTACCATACCAGGACAATTAAACCATTCGGTTGAGCATG